GTTACTTCAACTTCAGTTAGTACATATTTATTCGTTACTCTTTCTGCCCAGCGTGTTTTTGCCATTCATTCCCATTTTTTCCGACACCACATTTTTCTATTCCGTTAATAATCCATGTATCATAACCTAATAAAATCATATTCCATACTAGAATTAACGTTTTCATAAATATCTTTTTGATTCCTCTGTTAATATAAATATTATACGAAGACGGAGAAAATGACCACGGATAAATGAAAACGCAGTATAGAGCGAGCATATTGTACGACAAAAACTGTTAACGTTACCGAGCTTTATGGATATTCGTTGCAAGGGCATGGAATTATTATTTTGATGGTTTAATTTCCATTGAGAGTAGGTTCCTTTTATTAGTTTTCATTAAGCCAACCAAGTTATAAATGCGAATTATAATATAGCATACGCACCGTGCTTATCCGACCGAAACTGCACAATAACGGAATAAACATATTACCGAACGATCACGTTGTATTTGTATAATATAATAGGCACCACGTTCACGTTGGTTTTCCAAATATCTTGCGGGTAAATACGGTCTGTAAAATAAGAAGCTTTCGATTTGGTTCCCGGAAAATGTTCGTGGATGTTAAATGCGGTTCAATATTTACTATTATAATCAGAGTTCGTATTTTATAACTGAAAACTAGTAACCAGTTAAATAAGCTTAAAGATGAAATGCTTTTAAAAACGTTCATATAAGCCGTAAAATATGCCAAACAAGGGTATTGAATTTGAAAAAAATAACGAACAGTTATTAATTATCAATTTAGTTAATTTAGTTCTTCATTGAAATAATAAAATATAGCGATAAAAATAAAAAAATAGCACTAAAACTTCGAAATATTATGTAACAACCAATTTCATATTTTACTTCTATGTTTATCTGGAACAAATGTATAGCGTACTTAGGAGTCCCTAGGATCTATCACAACAAATATGCAAATATTACGAGTTAAAAACTCTTATTTATAATGTTCTAGTACAGAAAGGCATATTTACGGAAATATTGACGAGTATACAAACATAGTTAACGAATATTGATGTTATAACCGTGAAAATACGAAAGGAAACTAGTTAAACGTTTCGAGCGATTAAATGTCGTGTGTGATTGTTTGTGGTTAACTGCAATTGCATTCGCCTAACACATACTTAACTTAGATATACACGGATTCTAATGCCGAAAAGGAAAAAAAGCTCCCATATATCAATTCACTTGATCCTTTGGGGCCAACCCAACTGTTGTTAAGTAAATATTTGCTAACAGATAATGTCGTCTACCCAATCAAGAGCTGAAGTTTGATAAGGTCCTAATCAAACTTAACGGTTTCGGCAATATAATTTATGTTTATTATTGGGCAAGGGCATAAGGAAAAAAATACCTAGTTGAAAATGTCGATTTTGGTATATTACGATGAGTATTTTACCCGGAAATTTTTTTCCGTGGAAATTTTTGATTTAATCATTATCATCCTGATTACAATATAGCCAGAATGAAAAACATTAGCTCGTGTATATTGATATGTTGTCTATGATTCTCTGACTTTCTGTACTTTATTTTTGACCAAATTTTATATAATGGCCAAAGTTACTGAAGTATTAAACACAATCAATAAATACGTATAAGCTAAATAAATATAAGTATTTATGTGTAAAAACATGAGTAATTATTTTATTCTGACATTGCGGTTTTCTGTCTTACCAAGATCGAATATTTCAGACGAGTCTATCGTTTACTGTGTTGTAAACTATACCTACGCCACGACGTTAAAAAGTCGTAAAAAAAAAAAATCCCCGACACGAGACGGCGAAATCGTTTCAGAAAATCTTATTTCGTATATAATGTACTTATACGGTCCATAATGAGTAGGTACACCGTACACATAAGTATAAAATATTTAAGTATGTGTATCACGAGTAAATCGTTTGGGTCGTTAACAGGAGCAGTATACAGGGTGTCGCATCGATCATGAACCAGTGATTTTCTAGGAGGATTTTCAGTGAATTTGATTACAGTAATTGTTTTACAATTATTATTAAATGCTTAAAACTTTTTTCAATTTAATTAATTAAATTAATTTCAATTGTTTAACCCCACTTCTGATAGCTTAAATGAGTATTTTTTTTTTAGATGATAAATTGATGATTCTTCTTTACTCCTCCGGTCTAAACTTTAAAGTTGTATGACTACTAAACGGCTTATACGATAATAGCTACATAGTGTTGGCCAGAATTTTTGAAAAAAAAAAAAAAAATAAATAAAACAAAACAAAACAGAAATTTAATTAACCCAAAATCCTCCGAAAAAAATCGTTAATTCTCAATAAATGGTTCGTTGTAGCGTGTATCGTGTGTCACAACTTGACGGTAGTTTTAGCGAAAATAATAATACACCCCGCGAACCGAGCTGGCACTGAAATACGTACCATGGAATACACAATTGTGCGTATATTGACTACCACGTATATTTACGAGTACCTGCGAGAATAATAAGAACAAAAAGAATGAAAATACAAACAACGCGTAAGAAAACGGAATGATTCATGTTTTTAATAAGATGTATATACGCATTGCGTGCCCTGCTAACTCTCATCCCGGACAGATGATGTATTTTCGTCTGAATAATATAAACGTTACCGGCCCTAACGAGGCGGACTACCGCGATTCCATTTATCAAGAACCTGGTCCACGTCGGTCGCAGGCGTATTTTTGTTTTTTTTTTACGTATATAATTTATATGTTTTTTTTTTCAACACCATCAACTGTAAACGTTTTACCCATCTTTTCTTCCTGATCTTTTGACGCTTCCGAGGGTGCAGAAGTATGCAGTAATGGTGCGAACTTATATCACGAGTGAGACAAAAAACAAATTTTTGACCAACCCACAAACCATGTATATAAATAAAAGATGTCAATTTAAAATTAATTGAGCTGGATTTTACTAGGTTTTTAACGGCTTAACGCCAAAACTTTAAGTCAACTCATTATTATTCCTATTCAGTTACCTAACATCCCACCAGTGAATCTTCAGACTCACAAAATTACTGCTGCACCTCTTATGGATAAGGATGTATATTGTATATTGCCATTGACGTGAAAAAACCGCATAATATGAGCTTGAATTTGATTTTTCAGGAGACACAAAAAGTGTTTTAAAAATCAAAAAATATCAATGATTGACGAAAATAAATTTTAAAACTGTAAAACCATAAAAAAACTATTTATTTTGAAAAAATTGAATAGTTATGGATATTATATTGTATAAATACGTCAATATTTCATCACTTAGGAGGTTTTGTTAGTTAAAATTTGTTGTCAAAATCACATGGGAGGTATTGTTTTTTATTTTTCATTAACTCTTTCATGAAGATAGTACATAGGAGATATTATATGATGGCTTATTTTTTCTGAATCCAGGGATACCACAACTACAAAATCAAACATTTTGCACATTTTAGATATTTTCACGTCAACATATTATGTTATCGTTGTAATTTTTTTATAAAAATTCATTCATTATTATTTTCCAGATTCTGAGTAGAGTGAGGAATTAAATAGTATCTTGTAAAACACTTTCAACCGGAAAAAATGATGAACGGATAATGTCTCTTAATATTTCACACCATTATACTGATCATCTACAGAAATGATCTACTCACGATACGAAATATGCCCACTTGTATACCTATTTAAATACCAATTGTTTTAGATTCTAAGTGTAACGCAGAATGTATTTGTTTTACTAAGATGTTTATTTTTTTTCCTTTCTTTTTTATTTTTATCCTGTGTACAAAAAATCTACCAGAAATCTTGCTCAGATATATACGCGCGGCGGCATATCTAAAAGGGCATGTTGTCCAGATGATACTTTCTAGTAGTCATTTTTTGATTTTAATTATTAATTATTATTATTTTAAATATTATGTGGAAAAAATCTAATTTTTCAATTTTTTTTTTTTTGTTTTTTTTTGAACATATGTATATTGCCAATTTAAGAACAATGAAGATGTCAGAACTAAGCGGACTGTCTAAGTTTTGAAATTATAGTGGTTTGAAGTTCTGATATTTTCATATTTATGGTGATCTATTAGTTATTTATTCCTATATATGATTCTACGGGTTCCGAGTTCAAATCAGTGTGTCGAAAAAACATTTTTTCATTTTTACCTAAACGAGAAAAAACAAATGCATTTTGGATGTACCTATAGACCCAAACCATCGTCCCCTCGGACTATTTTAATCGCATCATACCTTTTGATTCGTTGTGCAAACATTTCTACTAGAAATCTTGCTCCGTTGTATCAAGTGTAGTTTATTTTCTAAAAGGAAATTTTATCTCTATGGTAATTTAGAAAGATCATTTTTTGAATTTCAATCGGTTTTCATAATATCTGTGAAAAACCAGGATAAAATGTTGGAAAACGGAAAATGTATGAAATGTAGGTATTAGGAAAAAATATTACGATTTTTTTTCCTGTAGACAACTTTCTACCAGCAATTTTGTGAGAGTGATATTCACCATCATCGACACCTTTTTTTTTAAATCATCACACATATTACATAGGATACAATTAATACATGAAATAAAAACAGTATTCAGATCGTAAGACAATACAATAAATAAACTTGTATTTAAAAACAAAACGAAAAACCAAAAGAAAGACAGAAAGAAAGAAATAAAATAGTGTATTTTCGTACAGTTTATAGTATAGTAAGTAAGATGTAATAATATATTCGGTATAGGTATACAATAATAATAATAATAATCATTAAAGTGTTTTTTTTTTTTTTTTTTTACATAAATTATTGTA